TAAAAGTCTCGAAGCCCAAGCCCTTCTATGGGGTTCAAGATGCCAAGACTCTAGAAAACTTTATCTTCAACCTCGAACAGTACTTTTGAGTCACAAATATCGTGGCAGAAGAAGTAAAGGTCATGTTGATAACAATGCATCTAGCCAATGATGAAAGTTGTGGTGGAGGTCCAAGTACATGGACATTCAAGATGGTCGATGTACTATGGACATTTAGGATAACTTGAAACAAGAACTCCGCTCAGTTCTTCCTAGAAAATGTTGAGATAATCGCATAAAAGAAGTTAAGAGAGCTAAGGCATATTGACAGCATTTGAGACTACGTTAAGCAGTTTTCTAGACTTATGTTAGATATTCGTGGTATGTCCGAGATAGACAAGGTCTTTAGTTTTGTTGAGGGACTAAAGTAATGGGGCTAAATAAAGCTCTATGAACAAAGAGTTCAAGACCTTTCCACAGCCTATGTTATCATCAAGCGACTGTTTGATCTCAGTATCGAAAAAACTCCAAGAGATAAGACGGAGCCAAGTGTCTGCAAGTGATGGAAATGAGAATTACCGACCAAACTTCCCCGAAGGTGAGGGAAGTGACAGACTCAAAGACAGAGAAGAGGAATGAGAGTCCTCTCAACCGAGAGGTAGGATTTCGAGGCAAAAACCTCACAACCAGAACATTCATAGTCAAAGTTGAGGCCCCTCATCTTGCTTCATATGCAAAGGGGTCCATCAAGGATCAGAGTGCCCATAGAAGACAACATTCTATGCCTTCCAAGCAAAATTTAGAATGAATTCAAAAACTGAGTATAAGACGGTAAAAACAGAAATACAGTTAACTGAGAATGTTGAACACCCCCGCGCGAGGGGCACTAAGGTACTTTTTTGCTCTCCGTAAGAGAGTGGAAGAGACAGAAGAGCCAGTGAAATGTGTTCTTATGTATCTTGAGACCTAGGTTAATCACAACACGCCTAGAAACACAATTGTTGACTCTAGAGCCACCCACAACTTCATGATGTAGACCGAAAAAAAAACATTTGAATATCCTTTGGCATTGAGACGCATGAAAGATGAAGGTCATTAATTCGACAGGTTTACCTGTCTTAGGAGTTGCGAAGAGAACTCCAATCAAGCTAGGGACTTGGACTAGATGAACTGATTTTGTGGTATTCAAGATAGACGACGTCAACATCGTCTTAGGGATGGATTTCCTACTAGAACACAAAGTCATTCTCATGTCCCTGGCAAAATGCTTAATAGTAACGGGATCCAACCCGACGATTATTTACACAAACACCCGTTAGTCAAGAGGGGTGAAAAGGATGTCGGCACTACAGTTGAGAAAAGGTTTTAGCCATGATGAACCTACGCTCGCTATCTGTATCGTATTTGAAGTGGGAAGCTTGAGTGGGTCAACCCAAACACAAGCCTTACGGTTAATACAGAAACACCGCGACGTGAGACAAGGAAGTCAAATAAAATATTTATCTCCACCTGGACAGATAAATCATGAGATTAATGTTATATCGGGGGCGAGATCGCCTGCCACAAATATATGTCGTACAACTACGCTTGAGCTAGTTGATTTCTACCAGCAGCTAAATGACTTGCGAACCGTCGGGTCCATTAGACCCACAAAAACTGCTATTAGTGATTACTCAAGGGATGGAGAGAAACACCAAACCAAAACCTCCACCAAAGGAGAGAGATAGAGGCAAACCTTAGAAGTAACACATGTTAGTGATCACTCAAGGGATGGAGAGAAACACCAAACCAAAACCTCCACCAAGGGAGAGAGACAGGGACAAACCTTAGAAGTAACACATGTTCACAGGAACACCATCCAAATAGATGAAGAGATGGAAGCGTCACCAAGACGAAGAGAGAGTTTTGATCAAATTGAGGTTAGATTAACTCCAACGTCAAAACAACAAGAATTCATATTCATATATTAACGAGAAGAATTCGTATTCATATATTAACGAGAAGAATTCGTATTCATATATTAACGAGACCGACATATTTTAACTCTTTTTAAAAATTTAAAGATATTATTATCCATAGTTTCTTTGTAGCTAACTTGTAACGGTTTGTTTCAAATAATTGGATGCTTTTTGTATGAATTTTTATATATATGAGTTTATGCACCCTTTACGGTTTCATTTCAAGCCTTTTGAAAAGTATTTTTCTTTTTCTTCATTTTCTTCTTGAAAAGTTTTCTTCCTTTTGACATCTAGGAGAGTGTGATAGGAGAAGGGTCCATGGTTAAATCAAGTACTTTTTTTGTGGGGAACTCCGACCATTATTTTAGGATGGTGTCTCAAGTGTATCTTTTCTCAACGCTCTTTCATATTTTAAGTGATTTTTATTTTTTTGCTATAGGACGGTCAAAACTCGATATAATGTTTTAGAGTGAAAAGTGTTCCAGACTAAATATTCTTTAAATTTTCCAAAAACTAATAATGAAAATTTTAAAACATTTCAAGGATATCTTAAGTTACTTGTTAGAGGAAACAATGAATTATTGTATCAATTGAACTCAATCACTTGAAAAACTTTTATAGGAGAGTGAATTCATTCAATTCTAAATTTACCAATCGATTAAATTCATTCAATCCTTTACAATCAAGTAAATGATTTAACTGCTTTCGCTCGATGAATAAGAATCAATCCTCAATTCTTTCTTTTACAAGATATATGGTTGGATGAGAATCTCCTCCTAAATCTTTATTTTCTGACTCTGACCTTGTTGAAGGAGCTTAACCTTCACCCAGCACCTATTAGTTCAATCAACATAGGTTTCAAAGATGGAAAATTTTCATACTCAAGTCAGGAATGAGATTCTTTATTTGAGACACCGCGAACATGTCAAAAGTAATATTATATTATTGACATCTTTTACTCAAAATTATCACGTTTCAAAGTGATTTGTAAGTGTTTTTAGAAAAGTCAAAAACACTGAAACTATTAAACTACTACATGAGAAGCATGACTCACTATTCAGAAATTACTTCAAAAATATTTTTAATATATACAAACAAACATTAAAAAGGATGGTCATCAAATACCTCTTAAATGCTAATATAATCTAAGTACTATTGTTCTACTTTCATTCAAACACTCCTCAATAATCCCCCAACTCACTCTAGTTATTGAAAAATTGCAAGACAAATTTGATACTTGACCAGGAAGATGAACACCAGCGGCTATCTACAATGTACAAGACTACAATTCAACCAAAGTGCATAATACTGGGTCATCCCTTCAGCTACAAATATACCTTTTCTTCATGCCAAAGGGTACATTCATATCCCAAACAACAAAAAGAAGGAAGAGAGAGAGAGAGAGAGTAACCAAACAGAAGACAAGAAAGAAAGAGAGGTCTAAGTATGTCTTATGAAATTGTTGACTATAAAGCCCACCCAACCTGATCAAACCCTGAAATGTGAAAGGAATTATTTAGAGAGAAAAACATTCATCATGAGAGAGCAACTATAAAAGTATCTCCAAATTTATCGAGAATTTATTAGAGGTAGGTAGATTTTAAAATCTACATCCAATGGTCATTATAAGGCAGTCACAGTGCTGTCTCATTGAATAATTTTTCCAAAGTGTTGGAGCCATTTTCACAAGGTAATGTTTAGGTTTCAAGCTCTCAATTTAATGGGTCAGACTACAATAATGAAAAGCGAAAAATCTATACAACTAACTCCTAATAATCCATTCTCACCACTAAAACATGATATCCCCACTCAGTTGAGTGGTTTAGAGCTCCAACTTATTTTTCTTCTTGCTCCTGATGAATTTAGCGCCACAATGTGACTATGATGCACCCACCAAGCTTAAATTTTGACCAAAATGGCCTATTTTGCTTGTTTGAAAACATCCCAATGTTGGCCATTGTCTACAACATTGAAAAGTTTTGCAATCCCTCTATATGCAAAGTGACACCATTAAAGAGAGAAAATGCTAATGGCAACTGAAGCTACTGTGCAAAGTGACACCATTGAACATAGCTTCCAATGGAAGTGACCAAGCCAAGCTCTTTTCTATCAGTCCCAAATGGAACTCAATGTGCAAGGAATCGAAAGTATACTATGTACACAATCCTGACATGCAAGTACGTGTCTCTGTTGTGCTAAACGAATGTAAAATTTGAATGTGAAAATAAAGAGAGGCAGAAACACAGAGCAAACATATCATAGGCTTTTGTTTCTTTTCTTTTTTTCTTTTTTTCCTTCAGTAGCAAGTAGCTTTCACATTTATATTCTAGTTCAAGCAATGAAATTGATAAAACAAATAAATAAATAAAGTTGTGTCCATTTGAGTGGGGAAAAAGAAGGCAATGAATGGCCCCTTTTATAAGAATATAAAGTATTTTAAAAGATAGTGTTTTGTTGATTACTGTACTTTCCTGTAATGGCTTTTCCATTTGCACTTTCTCTTGTTTTGTCTAACCCAACCCCATGAGAGAGCAAGAGGGGTTTTTATTTCCTTTTGAATTTCCAATACCATAACACACCAGGCTGTATAATCTTCCTAAATATACTAAAATAAGAAGTCATGGTTGTAAACAAGTCTAAGTTTTGTAATTTAATATTCTAATCTGGCTCTTATTAGAGTGCTATTTGAGTCATCTATTATAATAAGACAATAAAAATATATTTTCTTGTGGATATAGAAATGCTTACCTTCCTCAACCTGATTCCTCCTTTCATATCTTCCCACACAATCTCCAATTGGCTGCAAATAAAATAATATTATTCCAGAGCCAACTTACACAAATTTCTTCCTTTAAAATTGACTTCTTGAGCTCCATTCTTCCCCTGTGCTATCCTTCCTCCAAACATTCTTCCATCACAATTATTATATTTCCCACAATGTGCAGTTTGTTTGCCTGATGTAAGCAAAAACCCGATCAGAAAAGGATTATCCATAAAGAGACTGAATTTCAATGTATTTATGTGCAATTTGAATATACTCACATGCATAGAACCATGGCATAACCATGTAAACCAACACCATCTGAATTTGTTTATGCATACATGAAGATTGCAGAACATAGACATAATCTGCATGGTCCAAGTTTTTAAGAAACTTGCTGATGGTGGTGGGGACACTTCAAGCTTTTTCAATCCTATAAATGTAAACTCTCTATCAAAAACCAACCCAAGTTCCACTTGAAACATCCTTTTCCCTTCCAAGAGCCTGCCTGCAAGTGTTCAAAAACATTTTGGGCATGCAGCCTGGTGAAATTGAGAGTCTCCACTATCTTCTTTCATCCGCCCCATCTCTACATTCTTCTCAATTTAACATGTCCCAGGACAGAACAAACAGGGTGCATCTCAATCAGTTTTCTAATCCCTATACAAAATTTCAATATCCTTATCAAGTGCAAGATATGAATCCACCACCCTTAAGCAGTAACTCAACTTCTGATGAAGCAGAAGACCAACAACTAAGCCTCATCAATGAGAGGAAACAGAGGAGGATGATATCTAATAGAGAGTCCGCACGCCGGTCACGAATGCGCAAGCAGAAACATTTGGATGAGCTGTGTTCTCAGGTCCTTTGGCTTCGGAATGAAAACCACCAGCTAATAGACAAGTTGAACCAAGTCTCCGAGTGTCACGATCGGGCTCTACAGGAGAATGCTCAGCTTAAGGAGGAAGCATCTGAACTTCGTCAAATGCTCAGGGACTTCCAACTCCATAATCCATACCTACCATGAAGAGATCTCCTCCAAGTGGTTACCTGCAGAAAAGCTATTAGTTTCAATCTTGCAAGGCTGAGCTAGAGGCAAAGTTTTTGATCGTTCTTTGCCAATAATGGTCCTCTTTAATCTTTATGTAGATGCTACCTACCTCTGAAGTTGTACGAAACTTTAGAAAAATAAAAGGTACTTATTTAGCCTTCCCAATGAATTCCTTCATCTGTGATCATAAAATCTCTCCCAAAACAATCTTTAGGTTTTCATTTCATCGATAGTTCAACTAATATGCATATCTATTCTTGTTTCTTTTGCCATCTCCTTGAGCACAGTAACGATTTATGGAGTAGGTCCAGCCACATCTTAACATTCATAAAGGACGCCATAATTATCTGAACCAGATAAAATTATCAATTGTAGCATAGAAATTGTTACCTTAACAGGATACAACAAAATACACACAAGCTGTGAAGTTGAGAATAGCTGAGGAAAATAGAAGGCAGTGCTATAAAACTCAGTGTAAAATGTCCTGAGTGGCGTTGGTGGCGTTGGTGGCTGATAGTTGGAAATGCATTGAAACAGAGGCTGCGTGAATTTTTGTTCACGAAATGCTTTGAAACTGGCGTGAAAAGAAGAATATTTTGAAAAGAAATTTAAAGATACTTTTCACAGATTTTGAAACTTGTCATGGTCCAAATTCAATTGAAATTGGTCAAGTGAAGCAAACTAACTTGCATAAAGCCCAGAAGTTTCAGCGATATAACAGATATCAACATTTTATTATCATTTCGTTGTTCTTTGGTACATCTTTTACTAAATCTGGTAGTGATTCCCATTAGTCGCCCAATCAAATAAGTCTGTACTCTTCAAATCTCTCATCCATGTGTTCATAACATTAGAAGAAGTAACAAAAGAACAGGACAGATCAGATTGATTCACATTTTTATCAAAGAGATTCACGGTACAAGAAGATAGAGAAAATATGGTAGATGCAAACGAACCCAAAAGGTAATTGGTAGTTTAAAACTGTAAATAACTTTACATTCATCATTTAGGTTCAATCTCTTTGATTCAATAAGCTAAATGGTCATCCATATCAATCATGCAAATCTATCTTGAAACTTCTAGGAACTGAATGCAGACACCGATAAATATATGACAGTTATAGAAAGCAATATTAGTTCAACGTACTGACCCTCACTAACTGATTAGAATGAGATAGCTTTATCTCAAATTCCGTTGAAGCACAAGAAACTGCCTGAAAATGTGCAGAAAAGTGTACATAGGACCTGGTTGTCTCATCTCATCCATTTCCCTTGGACGTATATTCAGGAAGAATGCCTCTCCGCCTAACCTGTAAGTCATCATTTCAATCTTAAATAAGCAAAGCATGAGTATGCAAACCACATAGAGCTGCCATGCTGATACAAGAACCTATAGTTGTATCTTTTTACTTTCTTGTCTTTATGGATTCGTCATTCACCATCATGAAAATTGTCCATGCCAATCGAGGTCCAAACTTGAAAGGAATCCCTTCCCTTCTCTTCCTACTGAAAGGATAAGATAAATCTTCCCTCTTGGTTCCATTACTCAAACACAATATATTCAAATTGAATCTTTTTCAAATGCTATAAGTTACAAATTGACAGTGTCATCCCCATGGTGAATCACTCGCTGAATTCCAAATAAGAGATATTCAATGGCTGTTTTGTTGTTAACAGTCTACTAATGGCACCTCTGGTCCTCAACTAAACTTTTTGGCTACCAACAGATCTTTTCTAGAACAACTGTAGCTTTAACTTCATCTCTTCCATATCATTTCTTCCTGCATACCATATATTCCTCTAACATGGAAACTTATAAAAGCATTGATTATTGGAGTTCCAAGTTATAGCAGCAGCTTTCCTATTTGCTAGAGCCCCTCCATTAGCATGGTGCTTCAAACAACTTAAGTGTCCAGTCATCAGCTCCAATTTTTCCGGAGGTGCTAAAAAATATGTTGAGGCTGGCTTGAGAACATAGAAGTCTTGTGTTAGAAGGAAAGGAGTCCATACATCCTTAATTTCAGAATTGGAAAACATCCATGTACTTTCTAACTAATTTCCTGTTTCTTTTAAGATGAAAAAGGGACCATCCAGACCCTTCTGTCTTCCATTTAAGAACCAAAATTTGACCACATTAAATTTGATTATCAGAATCTAACTGGTGCTTATATTCATTGAGAATTACATAATAAGTGATACATGAACTTACGCTAACGGCAGTGCTGTAATTCAACTCAAATCAATAATTTTAAATTGGCTTCAATGGTACTGCATATATCAGGTTAATTTCTAGAGATCGATTCGACTTTTATTGTATATACTGCAATGCGATAATAAAGGAAATTGTGTAAACCTATTAGGCACTGGATGTAGTGCATTGTACATTATATGTATCCAAGCTTGCTGTAAAAACCTGAAGATAACAATGAGCTAAAATTACAATTAAACATAATACAGTGAGTGGTCAGGAAACGTTAACAAGAAGCTTAAGAGTGACAGTACATGATACTACATGCCTATTGCTGACACAGAAAATTAATGGCCGAGCACAGGAGCACGCAAAACAAAAATAAATAAATACATTAAAATGGGAGCATTGAATTGTGTCACGAACCATACCTCCTTCCATGATATCTGATGACTATTATGGAAAGGAAGAACAACAGTACTGGTGACAGATTCATGAGCGAAAGTGACACCAAACATTTCGAGAAACGTAATCCAAAATTTCATAGTAAAAATGACACCACCACAACCCATTGTTCAAGTCTTGGGTAACATGCATCATTAACATTGAGGCCCAAAACTATAGATGATGAAGAGGTTTGAACAAAATCGATTGAGGTTTGACGTCATGGGCCCAAACTGTGATAGCAACATATTTAATTGATGGCTTGTTTACTACCATGTTGGTTAGTCTTAGTTCAATTAGTTCTTACGAGTTTCATAGTAATAACATGAATATCGAAAACGAAATCACGGGAAAAACAGAACGAGGGCATTTTGAGTTAACATACTCGTCTCCCCTCCCTCCACTTTCACAGCAAGTAAACAGAGAAACACATTGAAGCGGAAAATGACAAACGATGCAACATATTAAGAGGGGAAATGAAGAAAAGAGGAACAAAAATGTCAGACCTGGAAATGGGTCAAGAAACGAGATGGAAGAAGAGTCGAACTGGAAAATTGATTCCGAGATTCTGTTAATATGATCCTGCAAGAATGGAGATTTTCATGTTGGATAAAGCGTCGAAATCCTCGAATTCAACCGATTCTGCATAAATTTCAAACGCCGAATCGGCTTCATCTTTCATTATGGAGAAGTTTTGATTCAACCAAGGAAACGTCCCGGATTTAATGCCGAAAATTTTCTCTGCTAATCTGCTCTACATAATTTGAATTAGGGAAAAACAAATCCCTCACTTATTAAATTATTATAATTATTTAGATTTTTTTTTTCTTTCCATTTGTAAAGTTTTGAATATAAAGAATTAAGTAGCTACCAAATCTCATTAAATTCATATATCTATCTCCTTTATACATCAATAAAACTTCATATATAACTTTTACATTATTGTTAAGAAAAAGAATATGGCCTTTAGGTTAGAATTCTAATTATTATAGAGTTTAAACTACGAGTACCAATCTTCACAACGAATATAGATCTATGCACGTACAAATACTCATTTTTAGATACACACCCCTATGCACGTATAAGTACTCGTACAAATACTCATTTTTAGATACACACCCCTATGCACGTATAAGTACTGATAACATTGGACACACAATAAAGTGGCAGTAGCAACCACCATATATAGAATAGGAAGAAAAAAGAAAAACTTTATTAGGTTCCACAGCTTAGATTGAGTTAGATTAATTTAATTTAACCATTTTAGATTATCTCAAAATAATTTTCATTATAATAAAGGGAAAAAATAATATTTAATATTATTTAAGATTGATTTTAGGATAGTTAAAATGACTTTTAAGTTTGATTTTCTAAATAAATGGAATAATTGTAAGTGAACTTACGGGCGGCTAGGATGGGTGAAATTGTTTGATACATGATAAGCATGAAAGAAATATCAGGAATATGTCTTCGTGATAAATATGAAAGTATTGCGTGCATTATCTCATTAAATCATAATTTTTAATGCGAGACGGGATGTGCAGGTCGGGTAAATTCCGTAAGTTACCCAAAAGCATTAAAAATCTCTAAAATTTATTTATAATTATAACACAGAAATAAAAAATAATTATACTTATTTTATTATTTGATTGTTTTGGGGGCATGTTTGGGTTGGACTTGGTCCTTGTGTGTATCCTGGGCGTAAGGCAAAAACACGAATACCTTTATTTTGGCTACTTCCAATGTCTCACCGACGGAAAAAAAGGGGAATAATTAATAGTAATAATAATCCACACAACCAAATCTTTTCATCTTTTCATCTTTTCATCTCTTGATCTTTTCCCACTGGCCTCAACAATTTCAGATTTCAGATTTCAGATCTTGTTCTTCATTCTTCGTTTAAGCTTTCTCCTCTTTTTACAGATTCAACCTGAATCTGCTTCACTCGACGTGCTTCACCAATGGCGGTTGCCGTCCGGGGAAACCGAGGAGCCTCTAATTTCGGCGCCTTCAACCTACGGAGTTTCTTCTCTTACCGGATCTTCATTTCGGCTCTCTTTTCGCTTCTCTTTATTGCCACTCTTTCAGTCATCTTCACCACCAATCCCACTACGCCGCACCACGATTCTGTAACTCCCTCAACTATTTTCTCCCCTCGTTTGCTTCATTTTTCTTTCAATCTACTTGAAATTAAGTTTGCAATGTTCGGGGCTGGATTTAGTAGAACATCACTTCATAACCTTCATTGCCAATGAGACCTATGTCTTGATCGAACCAATTTATGTAGCGTTTTTCTCATTGAGTGGGAAACTAAATCAGTGACTTTTTTTTTTTTCTTCTTCTTCTGTTGGAATGGTTTTAGTGATTTCTTTTTTTTTTTCTTTTCTCTTTGGATGCTTGAATGCAGGCCCTTCCTACTACAGGAAATGCGTATGTGCGACGAACGTTTTTGACTCTGAATTCTGATCCATTGAAAACGCGTTTAGATTTGATATATAAGCAAGCGAGTGATCACATCACACTTGTCAATGCTTATGCTGCGTATGCTAGGAAGCTCAAGCTTGAGATGTCTAAGCAGTTGAAGATGTTTGATGATTTAGCTCAAAATTTCTCGGATATTCAGATGAAACC